GTCCCATGGGCATAAAACGGCCAGTTCTCAAAGGACTCCAGTCTGGCCTCCTCTTCTTGGTACCTTGCTTTGCCACCTCTCAGCTTCTCGGGACTCTTCACCCTGATGTCATACTTGCCAATGTTACCGACGTCTTTGCCCAAAAGGAACTCGCATCCTGGACGGAATTTCCTGTGGCTTTCTATGGGAGTTTTCCTGAGTCTGGTGCAAAAGAGGATTAAGCTGCAGCAGAAGCACTGAACCCCAAGTTTCACCCCAGTGTGGTAAAACCCAGCGGCTGCCATCTCCTGTGGCGTCCATGATCTGAACGTGTTATAGGTCACGAAAGTCTTTAATCGCTTGGCCTCACTGCGCATGTGCGAGTTAAAACCTTTCTTCATTTTCATTCTTTCCTGATGGTCTTCTTCGTCTTGTCTCTTTAAAACCCGAAGTGCATCCACACCGAGAAGAGCAGAGAACTCAGAGGCCAACTCATCATCAAATTCGGAAATCCTCTCCTCAAAGGCTTCTCCCTTGGCTGCCATTTTCTAGTAGAGACAGGAGAGCAGATGATTGGTGTCTGTATTGTTTTTGTTATAAAGGGTTGTGTCTCAGGGCCAGAGAGACAAGTCGGTGGGTAAAGGGATGTGCCATAAACGCAATGACTTCAGTTTGTTCGCCAGGACCCACATGGTAGATAAGAGACAGGAAAGCACATGATTGGTGTCTGTATTGTTTTTATTATAAAGGGTTGTGTCTCAGGGCCAGAGAGACAAGTCGGTGGGTAAAGGGACATGCCACAATCTCGATGACTTCAGTTTATTCACCAGGACCTACATGGTAGGCAGGAGACAAGCAACTCTTGTAAGTTGACCTTTGACCGCAACTTGTGAAAGACAGAAAAAGTTGCTTGAGAAACTATGAAACATCAATATTCATCCCCTTAATCGACAAATATTTGCTAAGCACCTACCTGAGTGCCAAGCCATGGGCTAGGCCTTGAGCACCGACAATGAACCAGAGAGGGACCTGACTCCATTCATGAAGACTTGCAAATGTCCTTTAGCTGGATTGCTTGCTTGCTTCTCTGAGATAGAACCTTGCATGTAGCCCGTTCTAGCCTAGAGTTTAAGGTTGAAACAGCCAACCACAGTAGAGAACTTTGTCTGGACCCTATTTGGTTTTGTAATGATGTCCTTGGTATCCTAAGTCCTTCACCTGTGTACACCCTTCACACACACCTCCTTCACATCCCAGCCTGCACTGGGCTACATGTAGCCTCATCTCTGAACAATCCCACAGGTTTCTCTGCCCCTAGCCACAGTCAAATTTAGATCATCCTGTCTCATCAAATATTCCCAATGGATTGGGATAGGATGCTTGGAAAGGCTGATCTGGCTTGAACTGGGTTTGGGTGCATGTACAGGAAGGCAAAACTGCATCATTAGGTAAATGTTTGAGGAGATTCCCCTATTTCCCATTTGGGGCATGTATATGATGAAAATCACAGGCATTGTGGGAAGTGACAGGCACAGTGACCAAGGACTTGCATAATTCAAGCCTGTCTGTCAACATACTTGCATAATTCAAGCCCTTGCCTGGTAATCAACCTTTCCTTCTCCGGAGCCCCATAAAAGAAATCTCCAAATAAGAATTCGGCCCCTTGAATACTCTCCCTCATGTGGTCCACTGTCAGTCTTGAAGGTAAGTCTGTACCACTGTTTAGTTCATCTTGTTCTTGTGCAAATCCATGTGAGCCTTTATTTCCAATTCTTTGTACAGGAGGCCAAGAACTTGGAACGATCCAACCCAGGACCTCAGCCTCTAGCATGCTAGGATGTTTACAGGTAGATGTCAGCATGTCCAACTCCAAGTGTGAATTATGGAGACAAGGTAGAACATGGGCATATGTTTACCATGTGCATAAAAGAAAAATATATACAAAATTGTTTAGCCTGATGGTGAATATTGGATACAATCATTCAGTTAAATATTTATCCTTAAAGATTTTATTTTTATGTATGTATATGGGTGTGTATGTTCCAGAAAAGGTGTTGGATCCCCAGGAGCTTCAGTTACATGTTGTTGTGAGTGGCCTGGCCTGGGGGTCATGAGTCAAAGTTGGTTCCTTTGTGAGGGCAGTACCCACTCAACTGCAAAGCCCTCTCTCCAACCCCTTGAAACCATTACTTTTATTGTGTTCACTTTCAGGGTTTGTACTCTACATGTGAACTCCAGCTGTCCCCGTTACAAGCATGGATTTGAGTCTGGAGGGCAGCCACTAGGGTTCATAGGTTCTTGTACCTCTTTCCAAGGGCTTGTCTAGAGCCTATGGGGAGTTACAGAGTGGAGCTATCCTATAAAGGAGAGACACTGATGAGCTCAGAAACGTGTCAGACCTGAACTATGGTCTGTAGCTAGAGTTTTCCTGCCTTGCCCACAGTCAGGACAAATGTCTCTTACCTGCCAGTCCCACAGCCGCTCAGACCCAACCAAGCAAACATACAGAGACTTATATTGCTTACAAACTGTATGGCCAGGGCAGGCTTCTTGCTAACTGTTCTTATATCTTAAATTAACCCATTTCTATTCATCTATAAGTTGCCACATGGCTTGTGGCTTACCAGCACTTTTACATCTTCTCATGGTGGTGGCTGGCAGCATCTCTCTTGACTCAGCCTTCTTGTTCCCAGAATTCTCCTCTCTCCTTGTCCCACCTATACTGCCTGCCTGGCTACTGGCCAATCAGTGTTTTATTTATTAACCAATCAGAGCAACACATTTAACATACAGAACATCCCACAGCACTTCCCCTTTTCTTTTTTTCAGAAAGGAAGGTTTTAACTTTCACCTAGTAAAATTCCAGATAACAAAACAATTATCAAGCAAGAATTATAGTTACACTGTCTAGTCTATTTATAATATCTAGTCTATTTGTAATTGGCAAAATTAAAGAAGATATCCTATCTAACCTATATTTGTGAGTCTAAGGTTTCATATCTAATTTATCTTTTATCATAACTAAGGAAAATTATAACTATCTAGCTTCAACTACATCAATGACCTCAGAAGGATATAATATTACCTGAGAAATGGGAGAAGGATGCAAGCAACTTTCAGGAGTCTTGCAAGGTAGACAGAGACAGCTGACAGCCTGGACAGTCACCTGATGTTCCTTTGTAAAGTTGGGGTATTTGTCTTCAGCCTACAGGCCTGGAGTTTCTTAGTCATTTTTCTCTGTGTTCTGTAGAATGTTTGGCAGTTTCCTCTGCGAAGCAGGAACCTGAAGGACCATTTTGCCAAGCAAAGTTCAGTGGTCACCTTTCTATGGGTCCTGTATGTCCAGTTGATCAAGCAGTCCAGGCAAGAACAGTTTCTTTCCCAAATGGCTATTTTTGCCAAGGTGAAGATAAACTCCAAATAGAGTGTCTTTGATGCCCATCCTCCTCTCTGAAGTAAATTGGTGCTGCCAGGAGCAGACATGTCTCATTGTCCAGAAAGTCTAAATTTTTAAAAACATTTTAAATGCCATATTCTGTAGGTCTTTGAAGTGTTTGAAGATTACCTGTCTATCTGAAATATATCTATGTATACCTAGAAAAGTTAACATGACTATAAGTTTGAGTACCATAGAAGACTAATTGTTCCATTGCAATTCAAATTAGTTGTATGAACAGAATACCTTAAACAAGAGTAGAAATATATACACAGTATAACAAAATTAAGTTTAAACTTGTATCAATAAACTAAAATCCATGGCAATGTAAAACATTTTAAACAAGTTGTTGCTCTTTAAAAGAGGTTCATTAATCTACCCTTTCATCCTATCATATCTATGTCAATGATCTGGCTCCAAGCGAAAGGAAAGGGCTCTGCTTGACATTTCCCATGATATTTGCACAGCACCTGCCGCCCACGATGTTCCTACAATGCTAGCTCTCTTGAGCACACTCCCTTGGTTGAGTGAAGCCCAGGCAGGGAAGGGCTTCCCATCTTCCACCTTTCACGTTAATCTCTGGAGCCTCGGTCTTCACCCAATTCCCTGCTCTCCCAACCCAGGAACATAATTATTGTAATGGCTGCTATAGAAATATACGAAGTACCTTTCTCTTGGTTACAAGTTACACTGCAAAATTGACAAATTGTGGTTGTAGGAACGAGCCCAAGGTCTTCTGTATGCTAAGCAAGTACCCTCCACTGGGCAGTAGTCCCAGCCCACAGTGTAGGGCTGGTCTTGGTTTTGTTTCCATTTTTGGAGACAGGATTACTGTGTATTCCAGGCTAACCTGGAACACAATATACAGGTCACATTAGCATCAAATATATGACTGACTGTCTTCCCCTTTCTCAGTGTTGTGCTGGGCTAACAGGCTTGTATCACTACTGCAGCCTGAGAGACCAGTTCTCAAGGCTGCAACCAGGGTTGCATAAAAGAATGCCTTCAGAGCAGCAGGGATTTAAGAACCTTTTTTGTCTGAGGGTCATTGGGAATAAGTTTCTATCTATCTGAGGGGAAAAGACTCACATGCACGATCTGAGGGTCATGCTCTTTTATTTCCATCTCTTATTCTCCAGTTCTAAATCTTTAGTTCCAATTCCCTCTATCTTCTTGTTCACATAGCTTATATACACATTCAACAACAAACATTTTCAATAAAAAAGGTTACATCTGAAGGGAGTGAGTAACCATGGCAATACTCAGCCTCAAGTTTCCTGGTTTACAGGCTGTGACCTGAAGCTATGGGCACAGTGCCCTGGGAGACAAGCTGCTAAGGGATTTGCACAGGGAGTAGGTCTTTATCAGCCAGACTTGGCAAAAGAGGCTGGCCTAGTAGTTGAAGTTGCTTTGTGTTAATAACCTTGGTTAGACATAAACAACTCTGAGCTTGTACATATCTGTAAAGTTTTTCATTTATGGTCTGTTTACAGAAACATTCAGTCTGGTTTGAAGTTGCTCTGAGGTTTCATCCATGAAGCGTGAGTGCATATGTGTGTGTGGGATAACAAAACAGTGTTTAGCTGGGCAGTGTGGACAGGTGCACACATGCAACACAGCTCATGCGGAGGTCAGAGCACTTTTCTAGGTTGGTTCTCCTCCTTCCAACATCCCTCCAGGGTGGGATATGAGGATCAAGTCAAGTCATCAGGCTCAAAACATGCACTTTTACCCTGAGTCACCTTGCTCCACACCTCTTCCATTTTGAAAGTTTGGTAATGCTTAATGGCTTAATTCCTGCCCTAATGTAGAACATGTAAGCCATTCCCATTATTTTCTTCATAAATAAAGATGAGTCCAGTGTTCTATATTTTTTTAAATAAATCCTTATTGCCTTTGCCCTTGATTCCTCCCAGAACCTGAAAACGAGAACCTCCTGCTCTGGACATCACACACTTTGTATGTAGCCCTTGGCGGGATCAAGCTTAAACAGGTCTGGAAGCCTTCTCCCTGAGGATTAGCTCTCATGGTAACTGAAAGTCTGTGCAAAGCTACCAAGGGAGAAACACAATCAGTACCCCTGCCCAACAGGAAAGCCTATGACCCTCTCCAAAGACTGACTCAGTAAGGTATATTTACTTACACAACAGGGAATCCGCACCCATGAAATTTCAACAATATAGTCGCCCAAACAATCCTTGCAGAATGACACACACCAGTTTGACATGCCAGTGTGGATGGGGAAAATGTCACAAGGCCTCACCTCTATAAGAAGATGCAGAGGTGATGAATAGCTGCTGAGAGAGGGGGAATTGCTCTTCATCAGGGACAAGGCCCTGATAGCTTGTCCAGTGTGGTGGTATTCTAATTGTACTGAAATGTGATTTTGATTGTATGTTAATAAATAAAGTTGCACGGGGGTCAGAGCTATTAGAGCCATAGGAAGAGTGTGGCGGTGGTGGTACACGCCTTTAATCCCATAGATCTCTGTGTGTTCAGGGATACAGCCAGCATTGGAGACATATGCCTTTAAGACCTAGGGGGCTGTACATTCAGACAGTGACGAGGCAGTCACGTGTTTGGGTTTACAACCAATGAGAAGGCAGAACAAAATACTATAAATAGACGAACAGACAGGAAATAGGTCTTTTTCGGGAAGCTGGGACACCGCAGGCAGAAGGGTGAGATTTTAGCTCTGAGCTCTGACCTCTCAGCTTTCTCTTTTACATTGTTTCTGTGTCTCTTATTTAATAAGACAGTTAGTTACATCAACAGTCCAGTTCCAAGGGGTCAGCCCTAAACACATACACATGCGATCAACACTAAATGGACTCAGTAAGGTGCATGAGTGCGTGCGTAGGTGTGTGTGTGTGTGTGTGTGTGTGTGTGTGTGTGTGTGTGTGTGTGTGTGTGTGTGTAATAAAGAAGAGATCATGAATTTGAGAGGGAGTTTGGTAAGAACAGAGAGGGCAGGGTAGAAATGGTGTTAATACAACCCTTAGATATGAAGTTATCAAAAAATTTTAAATAAAACAAAACTATGATCTCCTTTGTATAAGCATATGACTAATCCACATGCTGCAGTACTCTCAAGAGAATATCAAATCCACCTTTGGATAGAGTCAGACGTGGATCCTCCATGAGATGTTTCATCTATCTCATTCATTTGGAATTTGCCTACCTCCCTACATTTAGCAAAAACTGCAGAAAAATGGAAGTTTTCATTTGTTTTAGTTTTGTTTGGGGGATAGGGTTTTGCTCTAAAGCCCGTATTAGCTTGAAAGTAGACATCATCCTGCCTCAGCCTATTGAGTGGTCAGATTATAAACGTGTACAACAATACCTGGCCAAGTTAAATCTTTTAAGACCAGACACACTCGCTCATCAGACAATATCTAGAAGGAGTACCCTAGTGTGGTGAGTGATGCCATGTTTGACTATTCTTAATAAGATGAAAAGAAATCCATGTCACTGGCATGTGAAATGACCTGCAATGGTCCCTCTGGAGACCTGTTAATCCTCAGGCTACTCTACTCTGTGACTAGTTATTTTTACAGTTGTCTCTGGATAGTCCCCCACTACGGTCTCCTTAGTGATCATGAGACAAAGGTCATGTTCTTATCTATGGACACAATTGCCCCACTCTAGCATCCTGCTCCCTCCCTGTACAGAAGAAGGAACTGGCCATGACTTGGCAGCCTAAGGCTTTGCTTAGTTGCTTTCACTTTCACTAGAACAGCCTGTAGTGACTTTTCTGAAAAAGCAGATCACAGAAAACAAGGTTTATTCTGACTTACAGTTTGAAGATATATTTCCAGCGGGGCACAGGAGACCTGGTGTCAGGAGCAGGAAGTCAGTGGTCACAGTGCATCAGCAGCAAGGACGCAGAGAAAATGACAGGAAGTGGCACCAGGCTATAAAGTCTCAACCCTGTCCCCAGTGACCCACTTCCTCCCCCAGGCTCCACCTCTTAAAGATTCCAACATCTTACCAATGGCACCCCAGCTGGAAACCAAATGCTCAGATACATGAGCTGCTTGTAGGAGACTTTTCACATTGAGAGCACAGCATAAGCCAGGGTACAGTGTCCTCTACTAACATCTGTATGTGAATACCTCCCTCCCACACTCTCCTCCACTAACATCTGTATGTGAGCACCTCCCTCCCACACTCTCCTCCACTAACATCTGCATGTGAATACCTCCTCCACACTCTCCTCCACTAACATCTGTATGTGAATACCTGCCTCCCACACTCTCCTCCACTAACATCTGTGTGTGAATACCTCCCTCCCACACTCTCCTCCACTAACATCTGTATGTGAGCATCTCCCTCCCACACTCTCCTCCACTAACATCTGCATGTGAATACCTCCTCCCACACTCTCCTCCACTAACATCTGTATGTGAATACCTCCTCCCACATTCTTCTCCACTAACATCTGCATGTGAGTACCTGCCTCCCACACTCTCCTCCACTAACATCTGTGTGTGAATACCCACCTTCCACACTCTCCTCCTTGTCATCTTCTTTCTCTTTAATTTTCTAAAATGATTTTACTTATCATGTGTCTGTGCACATGGACCATTTTTGATCTATCCTAGGAAGCCACCAGGATCCAATGGGATCTTCACCTTAATGATTTTATTCTTATCACCTTACATAGATCCCACCTCAAAACACAACGAAGTTCTCACTCCTTGATTTTTCCAAAGGATATTCCATTGCAACACAGGACCCTTTACAGAACACTCAAACCATAGTGGGATGGCTAATCTTGGTTGTTAAGTTAACCTCATCTGGAATCAAATAAAATGCAAGTTCTAGGTATTCCTGTGAAGGAATTCCTTGATCAGGTTATTTGAAGCAGGAAGACGCATCCTAAAGGTGGCGAGTACTCTCTGATGGCAGCCCAGATAAAAGAACCTGGAAGAAGGAAACTCCTTTTTGCTTGTCCTCACTCTCTGGCAGGTTCATCTATCCTGTGGCCTCTGTGGCTTTCCTTCACTGGTAGTAGAACCAACTTTTTCATGATTCAAATGTAGACTAAAGACCAGCAGCTCTCCAGGAATCCTCCAGGACTTCAGTGCCAGACTGTCAGCACTACTGAGACAGTCAACATTTTACACTGAAAAACCACCAGATTCCTGATCACACAGTGTAAGCCAGCCATTTTTGGAATGTCCAGACTACACCCTGTAAGCCAATCTCATAAATCCAGTGTATTTGGATGTATGGATATATCCATATCTATCTGTCTGTCTATTTATCTATCTACCTATATTTATATATTCTGTCAGTTCCAATCCTTTAGAGAACCCTGCTTAAGAGGTGAAAACTTCCCAGGAAAAGGAAATGAGAGCCACAAAGGCCCTCAAGCAATACTATGTATTGATATTTTTCTTTCAGGACATCAATCAATCTCAAACTAACTAGAACCTTCCTCCTTACTAGATAGCTTTTATAGTGCCAGAAGATGCTATGCAGGCTGCAGGGAGTTGGGGGCGGGGAGGATGTCAATGATCTTACCCAGTGCTGGTCCCTGCATGTTGCATCACTATTCCACTAGATAAGATGCCCCCCCTGGTATAATTGTGGTGTGACTGTTATGGGGTAACAAACCTCATTCTGACTGGATTTGAAGCCACTCTGCTTAAGGAAATTTCCTGCCTGGTTTTGTAATTCTCATCCAAAGCTCATGCCTAGAGATGTCATAGACCCTAGGGTAGACACCACTATTGTTCTTTTGTCGACTGGTCATGTTGTTGAAGGTCTTCTAAATATTACGTTTATACTTGTAGACCTGGCCTACACTCAACCTTAGTCAGAAAAGCTTCTTTTTGTCACCAGTAGCAGTCGATGTTGAGATACATAACTCATCAAAGCGCTGAGAGTAAGTCTATTAGTCAGGGTTCTCTAAGGAACAGAGCTAATAGAATACATATACATATATGTATACACACACATATGAATTTAGTGGCTTTGATCCAGTCTAGCCAATTCAACAATGACTATTCAGTCCACAAAGCTGGATGTCTCAGCTGGTCTTCAGCCTATACTGGAATCCCAAAAGAAGTAAGTTCTAACTAGTGAAGGAATGCCTCAGCAACAGGATAGATGGATTTTCCAGTGAACGAGAGGGGAAGCAGGAAAAATCAAAGGCATCCATCTTTCATGCCTTTTATGTAGGCTGACACTAGAAGGTATGGCCCAGAATCAGGGTGGCTCTTCCTATCTCAAATAATCCAATCAAAATGTATACTGAAACATCACTATGCACCTGCCTGGTATACTTCAAATATACATACTGTTGTGGGATATTTGATCACACTCTGAATGTGTGTAGTTCATGGATGTGTGTAGTTGAGTTTTTGTTTGTTTGTTTAATTTTTTTCTCTGCTAGCCCAGAGAGGCAGAGAAAGCACCCAGCTGACCTTCCCCCGATGAGAGCTTTCTCCTGTGCTGTCTCAAACAAAACTCCTCACACTGAATGTCCCTCCCTTCTACTTCCTGTGTGTCTCTATCCATCCTCCTGACTCCCTCTTACTCTCTATCATTTTTCCTATGTTCACCTCCTGTAAAGTGGTTGCTTGCTCCACCTCTTGACCTATGGTTGACTTTATTGTCAGGGCCTGCCGACAGTCAGCTGGGTAGCTGGGTAGAGGTGTGCGGATTGAAGAGACAATGAAGAAGACAGAAGAGTCGAGGGGTCTGCCAGTCAACACCAGACAGCCCCGAGTTTATTTCACAGCAGCTTATATACAGTTTTGCAGGACAGAGGTAGAACAATGCACAGCACAGGCATTCAGCCACTATCTATCCTGCCTTACATCAAGGAACAGGGAGTTTCATTTTCTATCTCAAGGTACCTGTGGTTGGCATCAGCAGCCTACATCTAGCTAGATAGTGTGTTCCTTCTTGTGGGCTAATCAGGACTTTCTCACAGCCCTTCAAGGAGACTCTGCGGGCTAATCAAAACTTTCTCACAGTCTTGGAGCAAACAAGCCTGAACTCTATTGACTCAGAATAGACTTCAGATTCAAACTGGGAAACTGAGTCAGTTGTGGGCTCCCACACTTTATTTAATCCTATTTACAGCATTCAAGCAGAAAACTCTTTGATTAAAGGTATGAGCTAGGGCTGAACCACACCATACCTTGAAATAGGTTTTTCAAATAAATAATGCAATCTTGGGGTTCACAGTGTGATCAAATATCCCACAACAGTATGTATATTTGAAGTATACCAGGCAGGTGCATAGTGATGTTTCAATATACATTTTGATATGATAAATCATTATCAAGTTAATTCATTGTCTTAGTCAATATCTGTTTGCTGTGAAAAGACACCATGATGTTTGGCAACATTATAAAGGAAGACATTTAACTGGAACTGGCTTACAGTTTTAGAGATTTAGTCCATTTTTACGATGGCAGGAAAAATGGCTGCCTGCCGGAGATGTAGCTAAGAGTTCTACAGCCAGATCAGCAGGCAGAATGATGAAAGAGAGACTAGGCCTGGCTTGAACATTTGAAACCCCCTAATGACACATTTCCTCCAACAAAGCCACACCTCCTAATAGTGTCACTCCCTGATGATCAAGCATTCAAATATATGAGCCTATGGAGATCATTCCTATTCAAACTACCACATGAATACATCTAGAAGTGCTTACTAGATAGAATCATATATACCAAGTACCATGGATTCCTAAGAAAACTATGAGACCACTACATCACATGCAAAGCTCTCAAAATCCTCTGGAACAAAAGCAGTTTTTCTCTAAGCCCAATTTCTTCCTCACATTGGCAATGGATGAGAGATGGTGTGAGCAAGCATGGCCACACCAAGGCTGGTGACTCTACAGAAGCCACAGAAAGACTAAAGAGCATCTCTGCAAAGAGTCATCTGCATCCTGTGTTAAAGTCGACTCGTGCTTCATCATGGGTGGGACTGACTCATCCTTAAACTGGCCATTTCTTACCTCCATCAAATGCTCCTTCCTTGTGACTTTTATATAGATCAATGTTCCCTTCCCTGCTCGTTCCTGTTGACCTTGGCAATGGAGGGTTCTAGGAATGAACTTGAGTGAAACTCTAGTCTTCAGACAGAAGGACCATATGAAGATAGTTCATCATAGCTCCTAAGTTCAATGATGGGCATGCAGGCTCTAATAAATCATCGGGCTTGGGCTGGAGAGGTGATTCAGGGATTAGGAGCACTTGTTGCTTTTGTAAGACAAAGGTACGGTTCCCAGAACCCAAATGGAGACCCTCAACCATGTATAACTCCAGACCCTGGGGCATTCAATACACTTTTTGGTCCTCTGCAGACACCAGATACCCATGTGATGCACAGACATAAATGCAGGCAAAAATACCCATTCATATAAAATGAAAATAAAGGAAAAAAATATCAGCCTTCCATAGTTAATGAGCAATCTTGTACATGCAATCATTAGTAAAATGGTTTGGTATTGGTTCTGGTTTGGAGGAATGGTCTTACTATATAACCCACACTTCTATCTCCTGCCTCAGTGTCCTAAATTCTGGCATTATGCCACACTCAGCTAGAGTGAGATGCGTTGGAAAATTGGGTTTCTAGAACCACTGGTAGCCTTCGGCTGCATCCTTTACTTCTGAATGACAGGAGAGAAAGGCACTATCCATTTCCAGAAGACAGTCAAGCGTTCAGACTGAGGGTGTCTCTCCTTCACAGCATTAATCACTTTCATGTCCTCTTTGTCCAGAAGCCAACTGAGCATCTCGAGCCTGGTGAGGCTGGGCAGTCGGGACACACACTGACTCAGAGCCTTGACCGTGGTGGCCTGAACTTGGATGGAATCTGGGATTCGCCTGCAGATGTTGAGCACTTGTAAGCTTGGCAGGTTGTCCAGGGCTTGAAAGAAATGTCTGTACCCTTCCTCTGTAATCTTGTGATTCATTGAAAGATCTAAGGTTTCAAGTTTCTGGAAACCTC